TTTTTGTCACTAATAGTTTATTTATAATTAGGTAGGTATATAGCAGGGGTGGCGAACCTCTTTAGGTTCAAGTACCAAATTTTTCCTTTTTAGGTTTTGAAAATCGTTTACGTGCCCAAAGAAAATTATATTTTCTAAGACTATAAACAAAATTATAGACTTATTACATTATTTTTATTAAATTTTAGTCAATCTTAGTGAAACACAAGCAGCAATTGTTTCGTTGGTCAAAACCTTTCATTCCTTCGATTTATTAACATTTTTTATGGCGAATAAGCTTTCATGAACATAGTTTGACGAAAAATTTGAAATCATAAGGAATATTGTCATTTTTAAAACATATATAATTTGTTTATTTGAATTTCTTACAAGCAACATTTTATAAAAAGAAAAAAAATTTTTTGTACAATTTTTCAATATTTTGCGCGTGCCATTAAAATTTGGTCAACGTGATATATTTGGCACGCATGCCATAGGTTCGCCACACCTGGTATCAGGCCCTATTATTTGTACAATTTCGCACTGCACACTTGATTTTACTGCGTTAAATGAAAATTTAGTTTCGCTACTGTCTTGGAAAAAGGAATATATTACATACATAATATATGCATTACATTTTAAGAAATTCAATAATACTTATATTTCCTAGTAGTTGGTTTATTATTTAATTTTTGTTTTGTAGACCGTAGGGCACACTTGTACATTCGTGGTGCACATTGTGTATCGGGGTGCATATAAAAATAGGGCCTGCCTGGTATATAGTTAAAATTACGGAAGAAATTTATAACACACATCTTTCACTGGGAAAAATTAAGTTGGGTTATTAAGATAACAACAAGATAAAATCAACCATAGACCCAATTCGAGTAATAACACTCAACGATTAAGTATTATATAACACCGCGGACCGAACTCGTGTTTTTTTTAAGCAATCAAATATCTTGAGACCCAACTCAAGAATTCCCGGAAAAGCTCACATTTTACCACAGGTATGTTTATTTCGGTCACCGCATCGTACGCACCGCAACGCGTTTATCGCACTCGCCGAACTCACGTAGTACACGTCGTAAACCGATGAAGACGATAGAACATTTTGGATTATTTTTAGCCTAATGATATTTTTTTTCCTCGAAACACTGGAAACTATATCTATCATATATTGGTTAATCGGTGTTATTAGTGTTACACTGTTACCTTATTGATGGTATGTTGTGCACTTACTATTTAGTAATACTTACTATTGATTATCACTAGTTATAGCAAATAAATATTATATGATTCAATCCAACATGATTTAATATTTTTGTTTTATACTACTACTTCACGCTACTACCCACCCACTATTATAAAAAATTTCAAAAGCAATTGTCTCTGAAATTGTTGATCGCCACTCCACTGGTGGTCTCGATAACAATATACCTACAGGTAATTATTCTTGATAGTATGAGTTCTAAATATAGTATTTGTGTTTTATAAATATCAATATAATGAATGTACCGTTATATTATGAAGCATATTGTTTGATCTAATTAACAGTATTAACATTGATGTTTGCTCGAAAGGGAAAAGTGGCTGATAGCTCGTCGATAACTATATATAGTTTAACATTTTGAATAAGAGCACATAACACAGTTAAACAAAAAGTAGGTATGGGTTATTTTCATTATTGGAACAAATAATAAACATTTACACTATATTATCGTTTGCACAACTGCTTTACTGCTTAAATATTGAGTTTGAGAAGTGTACAGAACTGAAGCATGGTATGAAAAATATTACATTTTATGTTTATGTCAATGATTTTATTAAATACCGTAAAATTAGGATTTGGAATTTATCATCGAATCTTTGATAGTTTGATAATCATTTTTAATTGGTTGTTTGAAACATCGAGCAATTATTTTTCTCGATTCATATTTCACTACAAGTGGTAAATTATATTTTATAATATGATAAATTTAAATTTAATTTAATGCACTCGAAAATTAGACTAAAACCGTAGTTTTGCTTATTGTTGACACGATCGGACGTTGGAAATCACGATAAAGAATTTACTCTATCATGCGGTCGATTCAGCTAGTAAAAGCTTGAAAACCGTACCTTAATACTTGATTAATATAATATACACTAAATAATGATATCACGAAAATCCGTTACATTTTTTTAGTTAAAAAGCTCATATTTTTGACTCGAAGCATTTACTGAATAGTGAATACTTATACTAGCAATTTTAGACACTTTAAAGTTTTGAAATATGTAATGAACTTTGTGATGCTTAAGCATTTTCAATTTTTTTCAAATTGTAATCGATTAGATAACACTGAAGAAAATAATAATGTTATTTACTTACCTACTTGGATACATTTTTTTATTTTTTTTGTATAAATTAGAATATTAAATTCAATTACCTTAAGAAATTGCCAATGACAGCTAATTTTTAAGTTAATTTGATTATGTTCTAATTAATATTAGACGTCGAAAATAACTCATGACAACCTAAATCTATATCATCCATATTTCTTCTAAACCAGTGGTTGCCAACCGATGGTCCGCGAAAAAATTCAGATGGTCCGCAGAAAAATTTAAATGTTACTTACACAATATTTTTGTCGTTACCCATTTCCCCAAAAAATAAAACCCTAGAAATGGTATTAAGTGGATAATAGATCCATTTGCAGCAAATAATTAAAATAACAAGTTAAGTATGACCGAAAAAAAATATCTCATCGCATAAGCGTGCACACGGGGTAGTCAGGGTAGGTACTTGACTATTCTGTGAAACTTCCCACCCTCACCAAAATATTCAATATGATCACAATAATAAATAAACATATTATTTTCAACCACTTCGAAACATTAGTTAACGTTAAAAAAAATGTAAGAATACGGGAGAAATATAGTTTTTAAATTAAATGAAGTTACGAATGCAAATTTTTTGTTAATATTAAATGATAATGTGTTATGTTTGACTACCCTGCCAGTTATGTCTGCACACGCTTATGTCTCATCGATTTATTTAACGGTATTTATATAAAAAGCTATTTTAAGCTAAAAGTGGTTCGTAGAATTTTGAGTATGTATTTAGTGGTCCGTGAGGTCCAAAAGGTTGGCGACCGCGGTTCTAAACTATAATTAAAATTGTATCGATAGCCGAAAATGTGTGAAAAAATCTATGTTTTTCACATGCAGAATTATATTTTATCTGTTCCCATGTCGGAATAACAACAAAACTATGCATTACGCGCCTAAAAATAAAACTAAGAATCTTGATAAAAATTATTAAAATAATAAACTACGTTTTGGAAAAATAATTATTTTTTAATTATTTCGAATTCAATATTCGCATTTAAAATAGGACGTTTGTCATCAGGTCAGATAGTTTACTTAGTTATATACTTGTATATTATACAAAACAATTTTAAGAAATGTAATTTAGTAAACATAAAAATATTTAATAAACATAAAACTAAATATTGAGGTTATCTTTTTAATTATTTTATTTTAGCTGCATATTTTTCATCAAATTGTTCATACCTTACTAATTTTTAGATAAAGTTATTAATTCTTTTCTTTCAATTCTTAAATTGTAATTTTACTACTTATGTTGATATACTGTTCATAATTTACGGAAGAAAAATAAAAGTAGGATAATGAAATTATTTTCTTATGGCCCCAAACAATTTTAAATAGTCTGCTTGAAACCTTTTAGATAAAAAACCCACTGAAATTACACCTTGACAAAAATATTAAAAATGATAACAATATAGAATGTACAAATATAAACAAGATATTTATAAATGTAACATAATAGTATTATGTTAATATTTATAGTTTAATGTATGATCAGTCTATCACAAACTATTAATATGTAGCAATCTATCAATGCAATATTTCTGAAAATTGATCTTAATCTGTTCACATTTTAAGATTTTTAATTTAAAATCTAAGTATTTATCATTTAAAATAATATCTCTGAGAAACATAGTTAGGGAAAGAAATTAGGAAAAAATAGACTTTTGATTGATACCAATTGCCATAATAACAAATTTACATCGATTTTCAGTGTTTAAATATATTACTAATTTGAATGACTAAGATTAGTATATTTGGTTGGGAAAATTGATCTCCGCTATAATTAAAGATTTTATGTAACTATTTGTTATATTAAGAAATATTATAAAGTAAATATTTTTTCTTTTCATATTTCAATGTTAAACATTTGGTTTGATGGAAACCTAACAATGTTACCTTTAAAATTTAAATAATAAGAATCTACCTGCTACATTTTTGACAATGATGATAAAATATTATTGATAAAACATTATTGTAAAACTTACAATGTTCTAATAAATATATTAAACTGGTGTTCACAAACTAAGAGAAACATATTAGCCACTAAAAAACATAGTCTCTTTGTTCATTTTATAAAAAAACATTGAGCAACAAAATCAACCCTATGAGTTAAAACAAAGTTAACAAATTTAACATATTAAAATGACACATTATACTTTTTAGACAACAATTATGGTTAACAGAATCTGCCACACAAATTTGACATGTAAGTTATAGTTTAAAACGTGGTGTCAAATTGTGATTTCAGCAAAATAAGAGAATTAAATACACTTAATAGGAACATTTGTAATATTTAAATGGGATACCCAAGTTACTAATTATTAATACATTTTATGTTTATTTATAAAAATCAAAGTCTCAAAATTTGATACTTTGATATAAAATTTGATATATTATAATTTGAAATTTTTAATTTTAATTTGATATTTTAAACAGAATCAAAAAAAAACTTGTTTTATAAGAAATTAAAGAAAATAAATAAAAAAATGTTAACTAATAGTAGAACTTATTTTTAAAATACCTTAAAACAATAGTTAATAACAGAAAAATATTTCATGATAACTGCTACTATTTTATTATGGATTTTGAAAATCTAGAACTGAAGAGGATTAGGAAATATGTAATTACAGACATTAAAGATATACTAATTATATCTTACACATATTTAATTTCAAGTTGGAGGTAACATCTCTTTCTCGAGTTCATTTTTAATTTTATAATTTTTTTTTATTTTGACAAAAACTTAAAAATTTAGAGGAATGATAAGGATAAAAATTTTTGTTTAAAAGTTTTATGTATAATTTTAATGTTCTTAGTACAAGCTGTCGGTGTTTGAAGATCGTGGCTTTTTTATTTTGTCAAAATTCTTGATGACAATATCATGTAATGTAGAATAACGGTTTCGGATTTCATGCATGGTAAGGGACATGGATAAATATTGTCTTTCATCAAGCTCTTCTACAGCTCGGCGATAATCTTCTACAAATGGATATTTCACAACCTGAAAATTAAAAAAAAATATATAAATTATAACTATAATAACAAAATATAATTAACAACGGTTTAAAGGAGTCTGGGTTAATATTAATGCAAATTGAAGTTTTTTTATGCTATAAAAATAATAAAATACTATTTATTTTTTATTAGGTTAAAATCAAATGTTTCTGTTTAAATTTTGAAACTATTTTTAACATGATTAAATTTCATATTTTTTGAAATATCCATAACACCCAATGGAACAATAAAAATACAGTGGAACCTCGATGAGTCGAAAACCTTGACAAGACGAAAAAATCCTGTTTCCTAGCGTAAACCTTGATTATACAAAAAAAAAAAAAACTACAGATAACTCGAACATATTGTGCTCCGAATATAGACGAATAATGACGGATAGCTTTATAAACAATTGTCTAAACGTTCCGATGATTTTTTCTAATAGCGTTTATTGTGTTTATTATCGTATGTATTAACTAACCTCGGCACACAACAGTATTTTTCATTTGTATCGGTTACGCGTGTGCGGTGTCTATGTACAGTAATGAATGTAGAAATTCCTAGTAAATTAAAAACGCTTACTATTGCAGAAAAACAAAAGGTTCTTGAAGTAGTGAAAAGTGGAAGGAAGAAGGAAATCGCCGAAGAATTTGGAATACCAGCCAATACATTATCTATCACTATAAAGAATAGTAAAGAAATTGATTTCAACTGTCCAACACACCAGAAAAGGAAGAGAGGCCCTGATTTTTCAGTCATAGAAGAATGTGTGGTTAAGTGGTTTAAACAATGCAGAGATCCCAATGTCAGTATCGGAGGTCCTATTTTAATAGAAAAAGCACAACATTTCGCAGTCATTAGGCCACGAACAATTTAAGGCCTGTAACGGGTGGCTTGAACATTTTAAAAAACGACACGATATTGTTTTTAAAAAGTTTGTGGTGAAAGTACAACTGTCAGTGATGATGTTGTAAATAAATGGAAAATAAATTTCAGTGAGCTACTGGAAGGATATAAATCATGTAATATATTTAATGCAGACGAAACTGCACTTTTTACAAATGTATGCCAAATAAAACTTTAACATTCAAAAATGAGAAATGTAACGGTGGTAAACATAGCAATGAACGACTCACACTATTATTGGCTGTTAACATGACTGGTACAGATAAACTGAAACCTTTAATAATTGGAAAATCGAAAAAACTTAGGTCTTTTGCTGGTGTTAAATGATGATGACTACACAGCAAATAAGAAGGCATGGGTTACTAGTGAATTGTTTACGAAATGGTTATTACGAATAGACAAACAAATGAAAATACAAAAATGTAAATTTTATTGTTTACAGACAATTGCCAGGCTCACAATATTATATCGACTTGTCAAGCTGTAAAAGTAAATTTTTTAACGCCAAATACCACTTCAAAATCGCAACCTTTGGACCAAGGAATTATTAAAACGTTCAAGACGCTTTATAGAAAAGAAATAGTGAGGAAAATTATAAGTGATATGGATGACAAAAAATCTACAGTAATCGATATTCTTCAAGCTAAGCGCATTGTTGATAAAACGTGGAGAAACGTAACAATGACAACAATCGTGCTTTAGATTCGTACTTGAAGCTGAGAAAGACGGCACATTGATGCCTATAATCAAAAATAGTGATACGGATAACAAATAATGGGCGCGGATACAAGTCGTTATGGAATCGCAGAAGAAACCTTTGATGATTTTGTTGAAATCGATAATGACGTTGCCTTTCTGGTGTTCTGACAGACGACGATATAACTGACTCCGTTCGTGATACTGAAGATGTTGATGACGTCGAAGAAGCATCATTTAAGCCTACGCATCGTGTTTCAATGCAACAGCACTAATATTGCTAAGGACATTCACCGAACAATTAAGTAATACGGACGATAAAGTGTACACTGCTTTAAATGTAGTAGCAAATCTTAAATTTTTAGTCAAAGTAAAATAACAAATCATCTATTATAAAGTTGCAACACGTGTTTTATTTATTATATTTTTTTCATAATGATTTTTTTTAAATTTAAATAAAGTACATACTCACATTTTACATTGTATTTAATATTACATAATAACTTTAATACATAAATATACTTTAATAACTCTTTGAGTCAATTTTTTTTATTTTAAACCTTGGTAACTCGAAAATCTTAAGAAGATGAAACCTCGATAAGTCGAAAAAAAATTGCATTTCCCTTAAATTTCGACTTATCGAGATTCCACTGTATTTAATAATTAGTATTCGGATGTTTATGCACTGAAAAATTACCAAATATGCATTATAATTTATAAGTATATATTTATTTATATAAGTTGTTGTTTTTATATTATATAATTTTGTAATATAAAGTATTAACTGATTTACAATATGAGCATTACACTGTGATACAATGGTTTTTTCATTTGATTAAACATGATATTTGGGATAATTACAAGCATATAGGTTGATAATTTATCATTTGTCTACCCGTTAATTTAAATGTTTTTTTAGAGTTGGAAAATATACTGAAATATGGGTTTATATTCTTAATATTTCAAAAATATGGAAAGTGAAAATAGTATTATTTGATTCAGTAGAACATGAATCAAATTTGTATCCAGGTTTGAATTTAATTGGATCAATAAAAAAATAATAATAATAATAATAATAAAAAGTTGATTGATATTTTCTATACTTAATGCTATTCACATGTATAAATGGATTCATAGTTTAATTTCAAATTATATATTTACAAAGTTATATTTTACAATCACAAAAAAAAAAAAAATGCACTTTCCTATAAATTCACAGCCCTACTTATATGACTTTATAAACGCAAAATCCTCAACTAGAGTATTATTTAAGTTTCCTGATTTTAAATAAATTGGTTGAAATGTGGAATAATACCTGCATCTTGAGGTAATTTATATTTGCATACAAATTGTCTATAGATAAAAATTACCTTAATGGTAAAATTCTAGAATTAAATAATAAGTTAAAAAAAAGCAATTTCAATTAGTATAAAATATCTGAATATCAGACTCTGTTAAATACTTAAATATTATTAAGAAATGCAAAATTATATTAGAATTTTGTATTCCTTAACATTTAAGTAACATTTAAGATGTCCCATTATACATGCAAACAAACCCTTGGTGATGTGGCTGAGCTCATACAATCTAACATACCATACAGGGTACCACGATGTTGGATTGGCGAAGTCATATTACCCTGTGCCAAGCACACCTGATGATCTGGCGAATACAGACGCAGCTATACAAGTATATTATACTAAAGGCAATACAAGTAGCCAATCAAAGGAGTAAAAAGAGATTATAACAAAACACCTATATTATAGCCTGGACACGATAAGAAGAAGATATTACACCTATATAAACCTTATTATTTAAGTTTTATCTTTTTTAATATACATAAACACCAGAGAATGAATCATTTTAACTTTGATTTGTTTTGAAATACGGTAAAAAAGGTAGGTCTTACCATTAATGATGATAAAACTGAATACCTAATGGTTAGTTGAAGAAGTAAGAATTGTGGACAAGAACATATTGAAATAGAAGAACATAAATTCAAAAGTGTTACAATTTAAATACCTGGGATTGATTATAACAGAGAATAATGAGGTTAATACATAGGTGTCGTCCAGAATACAACAAATAAAGGTTAAATGAATTAGAAGAAGTATTGAAATCTAGGGCTTTATCCAAAATCTTAAAAATAAGAATGTACATGACATTATTAAAATCGATTGTCCTATACGGCGCTGTAACATAGGCACTGAGAAAAACAGTAGAATTAAGACCAAAAATATTTGAAAAAAAAGTTCTACGAAAAATGTATGGCCCAGTCTTCGATAGTGGAATAAAAGAATGGAGAAAACACATGATAAAATCCAAAAACTATTCCAGAGGCTCAATATAATTAAATAAATCGCTGTGAGATTGATCTGGCAGGCCATGCAAGATGTAAATAAGAATCTATTATTAAGAGGATGATAGAAGAAATACCTATGGGAAAAAGTCTGTTAGGGAAATCAAAATTAAGATGGGAAGACTGTGGACGTTAAAAAAATCAATTGGAGAGAAGCATCAAAAGACAGGAATATATGGCAAGTTTTGTATTTAACGGTATTGTCTTAAAGGCCTAAACCAAGAAATAAGAAGTATATGCACTTAAAAGTGCCAAAACAACAATAAACAAAATTAAGTAAAGGACATAATTTATTGCTAAAATATCAAATTAAATACCAAGGAGTAATTATCAATTTAATATTTACTTTTAATGAAATTTGTATTTTAAGTACAAACCTTTGTAATTAATTTTCCACGAGAAACATAATAGCGAGATACTTGTTCAAGATAATTTGTAGCTTCAACTTCGACTTGTTGTATCTCAGCTAGGGTATCTTCTTGTACAGATACTCCAAAATTGTTACCATCTTCAATTTTTGGTATTAATAACGATACCCACATTTTTAACTGAAAATAATAAATATTTATACTAGTTGTAAATTATTACATGCATCAAATATTCCACTTACAGCATTGGTGTCTTCAACTAATTGTTTGATATTAGGTTTAAGAATTTTAATAACTTCAGTAAGGTTTTTATTAGATGGTATGAGCATTTGTTCTGGAATTGCATCATGAGAATTTGAATCTAAACGTGGTCTTTTTCCAGGATTTTTCCCTTCACAACTATAAATAAAAAAATATTTGATATGTAGTAGTATAATGTTAAATCAAATAAGTAGAAAATAATAAATAAGATAAAATTATAACATTTCCAAATGATACAGATTACTTTAATAAAAATATATTTAAATTTGAAAATGTTCTTGGTCTTGAGTAATTCCATAACAATATCACTATTATATTTAATATACAACTATTATTAATTAAAATAAAAACATGCAATTTTAACCTACTTGTTTACATTGTTTTCTATTTTCATCATTGAAGGGACATTTAAATTACATTTTATATCCATTTCAGCAATACGAAATTCTGGTTTGGTTAATAATTCATTTAAATGAATAATTCGTTCAGGAAATTTTTGAACTATTCGATTTTCTGCCTATAATTGACATAAAAACAAAACAAAGAAGTATTAGAATTAATAATGTTTTATGGAAAAATTTGTAAATTAAAATTAATACAGTTATTATATATTTCTCTAATATTATACATTAATACATTTATTTTGGGAAGTTTTATTAATAATAATCATAATAAAATGATACATAAAAATATTTTCTTTACAAACTTACGTATCTAATTTTAAATATTAAATTATAAATATATTCAAGATAAATTAATCAAATGAAAAGGCAAAAATAATTTTAAAAATACTAAATCTGATATATATATATATTTTTTTTTAATTAAAATAAATTGGCACCAAATTAAGTGATTTAGACATACATTTAATAAACATAACATTAAAGTAACTTTATTTAAAATCAAAAATGTTTAGACTTAGTTCGCCCGTAAAAATAAATTATGCATCATAAATAGTTTAAGTATAAAAGTAAAATAGGAAATTTAATAATTATAAAATTAAATTATTTTTTTATAATTAAGTTCTCATTAATATTTAAAGAGTATTAACCAAAAAAAGGAATTTTTTTTGTTAAACAATATTTTAAAATTTTAAATGTAATAATCAATGCAAAAGTAAAAAGATTCAATGTATACAATAGGCATTTGCCATTCTTGTAATGTAGACAGTACTTAATATTAAATAAATATAAACAAAACATAATTTGAATCATTGAATGATAATTTTAAAATAATTGCATATCCAAGCAGATAATTTAACACTGAAAACATAAATCATTTTCATACATACATCAACCTTCAATGTTTCATGGAATTCTTTAGCCTGAAAAATATAAAAACGAGTTAATAATTTTTAAATGATCCTTTGCATTAAAAATAAACACAATGTTTGAATTAATGAATATAAAATATTAAATAAGCTATTATTAATAAAAACAAGTATAATGTAGGAAATTGCAATAGGTAAATTATGGAGACTGTTTAATAATGATTAGGTCAAGAATCCCATAATACATCAAATAATTTAAATTGCATGTATATTATTGTACTATTGCATGTACTTTCCATATTAGTAACTAGTTTTGATAGAAGTGGTATGTAAACAAAGTAAATAGAAGTCAAAAATCTGCTTAATTAATTAATACGTTCTCATATCGATTATAACTATTTGGACGTAATTTTTCTTACTTTTATTGCAGCTTCAGTCTGTGCCATTTTGCTCGGTGGATAAAAGACCCGGCGAAAGAATTCTGTAAATATTCTCCGTGTGATTATGAAATTTGAAATGTTGAGTTCAAAAATCTTAAGTAATTTAGGTTTTGCTTCTCACAAGGTAATAGAAAACAAAAGCCTATCATATGTCGCCATGAGAAACGAATGAGTACAGAGAATGAATGATAGGTTTAAATTTTTTGAAATTATTTTTAGGTTAGGTTATTACGGTAGCGGTATGCTGATACATTTTGCGTTCACGTGCATAGATGGCGTTCCAACATTGAATTGAATGCTAATTTTTGAACGCTCCTTTCTATGCAATTGCGATTGCGTTGACCAAATACCCAAAAACCACATATAATGAACTTTTTCAAATTTTTTTTTGCGTTATTAATTGTACCATAACCATAGGCGTGAACACAGGCAAGGCCGGATCAAGCACTTTTTGGGCCCCGGGGCTGAAATTTTATATGGGCCCTTTTGACAAATTCTTTTTACCTTTAAGAAACCTATCGATTGCGCCGAATATTTTTATATATCGATTCCGCCTAAAATATATATACATTTAAAATTACTATATACTAGAGGTCTCGTTTGAAAACGTGAATTAATATGTACGTGAATATGGAGTTCGTTTTTACGTAATGGAAATTTACAATCACGTATATTTAATACACTTGAGTTTACTATCCGTGTTCACATGAATTAATGTTATTCACGTGATTTAGCGTTATTAATTTAAAAAAAAAAATTCATAACATAGTAAATCCATTGAAAAGTTGAAAAATAAATAAATGGGGATGTACAGTCAGTGTAACTGATCCATTAAAATAACAATAATTTTGTGTCTTTGTGTCTAGACATTGGTGTAACAAACTTATAAGTTACTACCATACGTAATTATTATTTAATAATATGCAATCATTTGATCATATCGATATTTATAAAATATCGAGACTAATAGTTTTAACTAAGTCTACAACAAATAAAAATAAATTAACGTTAAGATATTTTATAACGTGTTTTACATTATAGAACAACGTATGTACTATTTACTAATTAACGATACTTTTTAAATAAAATTAAATATAATTTATTTTTCAAATAGGATTCCTGTTGACGAACCAGTAATTATAATCAAATAATATAAATAATCTATGTTTTTATAATTATTAGCGCAAACTGGAGTCCCGGGCAGGTGTAACGTATTTTAGACTGATTAAAACTTCTAATAATTTATTTTATTTATTTTTATTTATATATTATAAACGGGTAAGTACCTTTTGGTATTAACAGTACTGAATGTCTAAAGTTTCATAATGACAATATATGAGTTAACAATAATTAGGATAATGGTAATAATAGAATATGAATACAATAAAATAAAATAGTAATAATAATGAATAAAATTAATAATTTATGACATGAATTAATTTAATTTAGTACTATACAATTTGGTTAATAGATAATAACACGTTTTAACTTTAATATTTACCATACCTTAATCTGTATAATAATAAACATGGTATTTAATATATTGCTAGATTTAAACCAAAGTATACATTTTGTTTAAATAAATTACGTGACATAAAGAAGAAATCTATGTGATCAGCTATAACATTACATAATGAGAGAGCTCTAGGGAAAAAAGATGCGGAATTGTAGTTGTTTTTATAAAATGGTACATGAAAAAAATTTGATTTTTTTAAATAACGATTTGGTGATTTAAAACCAATCAAAGATAGCAATTCCGGGGAATCAATAAGACCGTTCAGTAAATCAAATAAGAACATAATATATGAAACATTCCTTCTTAATTTACAACTTGTAAATCCGAAAACCGAGTTTTGCTAATTGGTTGTAATAGGTATATTTAATTTATAACATATAAGTTTTAAAAATTTATATTGGACTTTTTCAATCACCTTTTTATATGAAGAATAACTTGGAGACCAGACTACAGAACCAAACTCAAGATGAGATCTGACAAGAGAAAAGAATAATGTTTTAAATGTATAAAGATTTTTAAAGTTTTTATTTCTTCTATTAATGAACCATAACATTTTAAAGGCTTTTTTTAATTATGGTATTAATATGTATTGAAAAAGACATATTGCTTTCGATATCAATTCCTAGATCTCTAACAGAATTGTCACGCGTTATGACACAGTTATCAATTTTATAATTATAAGAAATTCCATTATTTAATCGAGAAAAAGTAATAACACTACATTTACTTATATTTAAGGGTAGGCAATTATGACAGCTCCAAATTGCAAACCTATACAAATGCGATTGTAAATTTAAAGTATCTTCAGGAGATCTAACTATTGAGAATATCTTTGCATCATCAAAAAATAAGAGAACTTCCACTGAGCTATCAAATATGGAACGTAGATCATTAATAAATAATATAAATAAGAGAGTGCTCAGGTGAGAACCTTGGGGCACTCTAGAAGTTACTAAAAAGTCATTTGAAATATTAAAAGATACTTTTACTGCTTGAGTACGAGAGTTAATATAAGATTTTATCCAATCTAAAAAACTACCATGGATACCGAATGAAACTAATTTATTTAGAATTAGACTGTGGTTTACTTTATCGAATGCCTTTTGAAAATCAGTATAAATTATTAATTTATAATTAGGCATGGTTATTAACGGAATCAAGTATCTTAGACTGAAAAAGTAATAAATTAGTTGAAATCGACATTTTTGGTCTAAATCCATGTTGGTTTTTACAAATATATGAAGACATTATTTTGGTTAATTTTTTAGTTATAATTGCTTTAATATCAACGTCATTCGATGGCTGACTATGTTATAATGATTTTAATCACATTTTTTATGAGCTGGAAGCTAGTATATTTTATGCGAATAAAATTGTGAAAATAAATAATCTATAAAATATACATAGGCGGAAATCAGAAAGGGGGGGGCTTGAGAGAACTAAGCCCCTCCAGAAATGTAAAATACAGGTATTAGCCCCCATAGCCTTAAAAGTTGTTAAGTGACTAAAAATACAATAATTATTATAATTGTAAAATGCATTTTTAATAACTGAATTAATAAAAAATATTCTGTAATAAAAATTAAATCAAATTCGTATGATTTTATAAACTTATTATCATAACTTAGAACGATCGTAATTAATGTAATATTAATAATATGTAATAATACCTACATTGGTTGTTTAATTTAATTAATTAATAATTCCTGTTTAGAATACCTACTCTAACAATGTTTAAGATAAGGCACCTAATTGTTTTTTTTACCTTAATTGTTGAGTATGTCAAATACTCAAACGTTGTAAATTGCCTTGTTAAAATGAATAATTGAGTACAGGGGTACCTATAGGTGTAATAATCAAATGATGCTCAGCCTCCCCACTAATATCACCAAAATTTCGCTTATGATAATTTATACAATTCATATTCCATTCACTCCACTCACTGATTACTATGAATCTCGAAAATGAGAAAACGTATGAATTTGAAATTTAACATAGTTTTTCTAATACTTCAGACATGTGATGAGAAGAGATTTTTAAGTATCCACTGTCGAAACAGTTTTCAGTTAATGTGTTAATTTTTTCACTTTTTGATTACCTGGGGAATATTTTATATCATTCAATGTGTTGACCCTAACGATTACCGATTTACGTTTAAGTAAATGAATGTAGTATAAGTTAATAAAAATAAATACCATATGAATATACGACAATTGTTCGCTTTATCATCCTAACATTTTTAGGTTGAGGATTTGTAATTGCTTTTATTTAAAATAGTAAAATATCAACCGGGCAAAATCCGATAATTCAGCACTAACTTGGTGTACATATATTTATAACTAAATATTTTATATATTTAAAATATAAAAGTAAAAATAACACAATTTAATAGAAATAATATATTGATACCAAGCGATCGGCTCCGTCACATTGCCTCGCCTCAGCCGTTTGTCAGATGCATGACACGTGATGTTCTGCGCCCGATGAAACGTCCGAAACGGGACTCGGTTGATGGACCCTGCGCCTAGTTCTAGATAACGACAACACACGTGCTGTTATATCGTTCACGAGCCTGACGGAGTGTGACGACCCTGTCAGCGATCACGGTGGGTGGTGGTGCCACAATGTCCTGCCAGTCACCGAAAAAGGAGATTATTCTTAGGGGCGTCAACCTCGAGGTCAGGCCCTGATGAAAACTGGGAACTTTGGAGGTCATTGTGATAACTAAACCCTCTCCGCAGTGATCAAAACACATATTATTTTTAACGAGGGCCGTCACAGTGCGCTATAGCTGACGACCGTACGAACAGAAAAATGGACGTTATCTTGTTTTAATTGACATCGGCTATCGAAATTAAAGCCGTGGTCGTCCGTTGATTATCCGTTGAATCACACAAACGAACATCATTCAATGCCCGGCCCTGTCTGCAATGGTTGCGCGCGCCCATCACTGCATCGCTCTCGGGACAAGTCAACACTCGAAACTACCATAAAAATAATCTACATTAATGTACATTATCGTGTTTTAAAAACAAAAACGCATTAATCTTGGTATACTTTTAACGCGTTCTCGAAAATGCATTGATTTATCGCGATAACCGAGGCAAAAAATATTTTCACCTGTTCTAAAATGTAGTTTCTACTCGTTTCACACAAAAACTTACAGATACCGTACAGTTAAAAATTGTATAAAAAACATTCATCTAAAAAGTGTAAATAAGTAGATAACAATAAGTGCAAACATTTTCCTTTGATAATATTTATAAACCAATATCATTATAATCAAATATTACACCATCAAAATTTGATATGCTGTTATTGCATACGATTTCGTTTATTAAAAATGTATGACTAGTAGAATGTTTTAAAAAGTGATTATAAAACAAGTTTTGCAATTGATTCATTAATCTGATAATGATTTAAAGTTTTATTTGTTTTAAAACTCTCTACAATGCGGTTTATGATAATATCATATTATTATAATAATACCTTAAATTTATTCATTTAACAAATTTAACAACAGATTTATTTGAATTCAATTCTCAAATAATATATTTTATAAAACGTAGATTTTCATTAAAGATAACAATTAGGTTTTTGTGTTCCACCTATTTGAAATAAAATGAATAAATTGTGGTTTATTCTTTTTTACTTTTTGTTTTTTTTAATGGTTCAAA